TCTTTATATATATATATATATTATGTATATATATATAAACTATATACAACCGTGTGGACTGTTTCAGACGAGCACTGAGCCAGCCCCGGCCAAAGAGAGCCCTGGGAAACCACAGACCAAGAAGTCAACGAGGGACGAAATGGTGAACCCTTTGTGGGCAGAGGACAAGGGCTTAGGACAGGAGCGAGTGATTAAAGTACGGTTGTTTGTTCATTTGGTTGTTTGTCTAACTGTTTGATTGTTTGTTTGTCTGGCTGGCTGTTTGTTTGTCTGACTGTTTGTTTGTTTGTCTGACTGTTTGTTTGTTTGTTTGTTTGTCTGTCTGACTGTTTGTTTGTCTGACCGTTTGTTTGTTCATTTGGTTGTTTGTCTGGCTGTTTGTCTGTTTGTTTGTCTGTCTGGCTGTTTGTTTGTCTGTCTGGCTGTTTGTTTGTCTGACTGTCTGTGTGTTTGTTTGTCTGTTTGTTAGTGGTAAATGTTACCTCCCCTATGATCAGGGGTGTGGCTGAAAGACAGCAGTGAGAAGGAGCCAAGGAGTAGCAGTAGAAAGACTGCAGAAAGAGTCAGGAGTCCAGAGGAGGGGGCAAAGGGGAGAGGAGGTGGTGGGGGCAGAAGGTGGAGAAGAAAGAAGACGACAGAACATGGTTTGGGGAGCTGAAAAGGAGGTGGACGGAGAATCGTTTGGACAAGAAAAATGTCTGTCGTTGTCAGGTTTTGAACCCGTGACTCAATGAGGTAGAAGCTACCCCGGTCACCAGGGTTATAACGGACACTTGTCTCATCGAAACTTAGTGGCTGTTTATCACAAAAGTGACTGCAGTTTAAAATGTCCCAGAAATCCCCAGATGGTGATTCACAGAGTGGATCCCCCCACCCCCACCCCCAAGGACAGTGCTGCTGACTGAGGTTGTGTTCAGGCCATAATCATGTTCTTATGCTCAGTATAAATAGGCTGATTTATCAATGTCATGCTTATACTGCTGCTTTGTTCCTTTCCTCATCCTTACTATCGTCATTATTCCTCTACTTCTTTTGTATGTTTGTCACTCTCTTGTGAACTGCTATTTCCGAGGTGCCTTGATAGTCGAAGCAGACTTTGTGCTGTTGAGGCTAGAGAGGTGAGCAGAGTAAGTCTGATTCCCTGTTTGGACTTCTCTGTTGACATCCACCCCTTGACATTCATATGACCTTATGCAGTTGTGAGAGCCGTAAAACCTTACTAAAACAAACAGACAGAATGGATTATTATTTTTGAATTTTCAGGGAAACGCTGAGGAAATGATTTTCTGGAGAAAATTCATCAACAAATACTTACTGCCCATTAAGCCAAGTGCTGACGAAAAGGTAAGGAAGTGTAGGTCTTCTGTCTTACATCTTATACATCTTACTTCAGTGTACAGGTTTTTGGGAGGGTAAGAACTCTTTTATAGAAAGTACCAATTAATTTCAGATTTTTATCCAGCTTCTCTGTTAATTTCAGGGGAAAAAACGGTTTGCATTTCTTGTTGTCGTTGTTAATTGGTGTGACATTTTAGCCGAATCACTCACGTGGGTCAGATTTGAAATTAAATAGAATAAACGAAAAAAAAAATCCGACTGACAAAAAAACCAAACAAACAACAACAACAACAACAACAACAACAACAACAACAACAACTACACTCGTAATCGTCATTGTGAGGTTGTGTGTTCGGGGATTCGAGCTACGGGGCCCGCCGACGTTGTGTCCTTGAGAAAGGCACTTTACACAAATTTTCCTCACTTCACCCAGGTGAGATTGGGTACCCGGCCATAGACAGTGAAAGATCTTGTCAGTATGTTAGTGTTTTAGCGCCTACAAATGGCTGCTTGCACTGCATGCTTCCCATGAAGTTGAGGTTGTTTCAGAATGCTCCCAGGTCTGCTGGGGTAATAGTATAGATTGTAAAGCGCATAGAGCTTGCTGTTGAGAGGGGATTTGCGCTATACTAATGCTATCTAATATTAGTAGTATAGATTGTGAAGGGCATAGAGCTTGCTGTTGAAAGGGGATTTACGCTATACAAATGCTATCTATTATTAGTAGTAGTAGTATAGATTGTGATAGCTTGCTGTTGAGAGGGGATTTGCGCTATACAAATGCTATCTATTAGTAGTAGTAGTAGTATAGATTGCGAAGCGCATAGAGCTTGCTGTTGAGCGGGGATTTGCGCTATACAAATGCTATCTATTATCATTAACAACAACCCAATAGAAAACAAAGCAACAACAACAACGGCACCTTAAAAAAACCCAGAAAAACAATCCCCCCAAAGAGGGAGGAGAAATACGGACGATACATTAACACAACAGTACTCTTGATCTTAACTTGCACTCAGACACAAACAGGCTCACAGCCACTTGCATTCATTATTTGTGAGGCGGCGTGGAGGAATCAGGCTCTCGTCAATGTTTGGGCATGTGGAGTTATTGTTATCATCTTAAAGCTTGTTCACTTGTCTTTATTTGGTTGAAAAAAAATATCCATTTATCTTGAATGCAAGTCGAGATATTTGTGAATGAAGGAGGTGGGGGTCGCCTGTTTTCAGAGGTAAAATTAGTGAGAAAATGGCCGCCAAAGATTAGTTATTTCCTTAGCTGAAGAATCCGTGGTAACTAAAAATTT